CATGCCGGGCTTCTGGGTCTTATCACCTGCTCCCCACTTACCCGCAACATACAGCATAGTATTTGAACATCAATTTTGGAACTCAACTGCCTGGGTTCAAATCCAGGTACTAGAACTTACTGAAGATAGATGTTGAACCTGAACAGGACTTAAACATCTCTGAGCCTCAGTTGCCTGACTTAGGTGTATGAAAGGTAATACTGATTTAATATAATTGTTGTGGATATTATGAAAAAAAAAAATAATAATGCATGTGAAACCCCCAAAGGATGATTGGCATGCCACAAACTCTCGCTAAGTTATTATCTTCATCATCCCATACCTTGCCTGCCTCCTTTTTCTTCACACCAAATTCTCCTGTTTTTTCTCTAATCCCTATCCCGTACTCCCAAATAAGGTGCTTCTAGAGAAACAAGGGAGGGTTAAGACCCCAGCATTGTAATAGCCAGGCCAGTTCTTCTGGGCGTAGTGTTTTCCAGACCCATGATCTCCTTGGGGCTGAATCCTGGGGACACCAAAACCTATAAAGGACCAGCCTGCAGAGAACTTGGCTCAGCATTTTTGCAGAAGGTAAACACCTTGTGGCTACCAGGAGCCCAGTAATTGCAGATGCATGTAGGGTGCAAAGGCAGGTCATAGGCAGTCATCTGGCCTAGACTGTCTACTCCTGCATCCTATTCCACACCTTTGAACCTAGTAATCTCTTTTTCCTTCTCTCCATCTGTGTGGTTACCATTACCTTCAGTCTCATCTATAGTAACAGGCGAAATGGCATATGTTCCTCAAACTTTTCAGTCACCTGAGATTTTACAACTGGATTCTCAGGCTAAATTCCAAATCAATTGGATCAAGAACTCTGGGAATGCAACCAGTGCATCCAAATGATTGTACTGTGCATAGAGGTCATCTGAAGAGTTGTTCAAATGCACATTCTGGTTCAATAGGTCTGGGACAGAGTCAGAGATTCTGTCTCTCACAAGCTTCCAGGTAATACTGCTGCTGCTGGACCACAAACCAAATATGAGTAGCCAAGTTGTGGAACTGTAGTTCTCAGAATTGTTCATGTATCAGAATCATTGGGAGGACTCGTTACACTGCACCCAAGTTGCAGGTTCAGGAGATGTGGAGAAGGCCTGATAATAAGTGGTTTTTTGTTTTGTTTTTTGAGGTAGAGATTGAACCCAGGGGTGCTCTACCACTCACTACACACTCAGCTCTTTTTTCTTTCTTTCTTTTATCTCCCCACCC